TTTTTTCTTCCCATCATATCATCTTCAAAATCCAATAGGTCAAAATGACGCTCGAGTAAATCCCGATTTAGCATCGTGGGCTCCCCTACCATTAAATAGCTGACCACAAGTGTTCATAGGATACTCAAAGATAAAAAAGTTCTCACGAGAAGTGGATCAAAATGCCCAAAAAAAAACGCGCTAAGAGAATCATAGACAGCTTTTGGGTAGCACTGAAACCAACCAACCAATAGTGTAAAATCCTTGACCAACGCTCTCGAAATAAATAAGAATGAAAAATGACACTGAAGATGGCACAACGCCGAAACCGTTCGTACCAAAATTAATCTTGAAATAAATCTTAGAGTTTTAGATGTATTATTCTCCTACATTTAGGAATCTTAGAATCTTAGGAATCATTTAATACTTTCTTGTGCCAGTGGAGGATTTTCCCCTCCATTACCATACATATCCCTTTTTCGACTGGGTGTTTACCCCCCCGCGAACTCAGGAATCTTTGGCAGTGCATAATGAAAGCACAAATAAATACCTAAATTATCAAACTGAGGACAGTCCCTGTGATGTTGGCGTCAACTATATTCAGCTTATGGACTGATCACTCTACGTATATACATACATACATACATATATACATACATATGTAGTTGCATATTGTTTTGTTTCTGTATTTGTTGTGAGCAAATATCGGACTCCTGTCTACGCTAGCCGGACAATGACGGATTTATGTAGATACATACTATGTATGTATGTATGTATATGACATAGAACATACGCTCAAATGTGTGCTGAAAATACATACATATATATGCATATATATATATATATATATATATACTTATATATTTCTGACCAGTGAATGAATATGCTGAGAAGAGATCGCTCAGTTTTAAATAAAATATTGAAACGTTCGGACGTGGTTTTGTTGACGTTCCTCGTCGTTAGAATAACAAAATACATACATACATACATACATATTCATATATCAGTACCGGCGATTCAACAAGACCGGCGCACAACTTTATATGTACTTCCGCTAGTGATAGTAAATCTCGAACTGAGAAGAAAAAAATAAAACGAATATCAATCAAACTAAATGCATACATACTTATGTATGTATGTACATGTGTAGTATGCGGCAGCTTGAGACAGCCGGAACAAGCTCTCAGCGACAAAAATATTTATTTCTTTCGTTACTTTAATTGCAACATTGTTAATCAGCAAATAAATAGATACTGAATGGACAACAAAAGCTGTGTATAGCTTGTGCATAAGTGAATTAAATTGAATCATGTTCAAGTCCGGTGAATTATAAATTGAATTAAATGAATTGTCTGGATCTTCAGCAGGAGTGACTTTCACAGATGGATGGTATTTTCAAATGCTAATCGTTTAGTTGAAATAGGGGTCGGGTCGCACAAACCTAACTAAATATAGCGTGTTTTGATAACACAGATCACGTGAATTATACTTTTTTTTATTGTTTTTCTGTAAATCGTTTTAAAGCGAGTAAGACACCAAAATGAAGTGAAAAGATATTGAATAAGCCGAATTTATACAAGGTGGTGTTAACAGAACAAAAACAAAAAATTACAGTAACAAATTTAACGCACATTGACAATCAGTACAAAACAAAATTACAACAAACACATCATTTTGACAAAAGGTACAATTTCGCCGCGAAATCAGCGGATCCGATAACACCACCTTGTATAGATTCGCCTTGATATTGAACATATGTTTCTGCATACATATGTATGTATATACATACATACATACATACTACGCACCTATGATAATTTGAATCGCATCACCTAAAGTAGCGGCCTCGTTAACCAGATAGCTCATCAACGATCCATGTTTAGGAAGTCAAGTAGTCTACAATCGTTAACGTTTCCGTTTTTGAAATTTTCTCCGCCTGCTTAGAATTTTTCAAATATGACAACAGAGACACTTAAGCCGTTCATACTTGCACCACATTGTGCTGATAACTCACTGATGCGGACAAGTGCAGCGTCACGTCAACGGAGCTTTAATACGACATCGATTATTTTAAGTGCATTGGCTGTGATCTTGACTTTGATTTTCTTAGGTTTTACGGTGAGTAGTATCTATGTACATACGGTGAAACACGCAAAATCACTCTCTGAAGTGAGAGTAAAAAGTGAGTAACAGCAAAACGTACGGAAAAGCATCGGGTAAAATCCTGCAACATGAACTGCATTTACATGAACCACAGATTATATTCCGAAAAGAAAAACTAAATTTAGGAATATGTATATACAAATAGAAATGCCCAAACTATGAGCTCAAAAACAATAACTGATGCGGTGTTGCCAAGATATTTTAACGTCCTTGGGTCACAAGTATATACAAGTATATTTTATCAATCATACCGATAATTTCATGTATTAAACGAATTAAAAATGAAAACGAATAAAAAAATTAAATCAGCAAAATGAATAAAATTAAGTGAAATTAATGTTTAATTTCTAACCTAACCTACATTTGTATGTATGTAACTGAATCGCCTAATAATAGCTTTACATATAAAAAGATTATCCTAATATTCGAGCTTAACTCCCTAATCTGTTATTTGAAAAAGAGATTAGCCATGCAAAATTATAATTAAAAATATCTCAGATTAAACCGATAACTTTTTGGTGTCCAACCTAGTTTTATCGATTATACCTGCGAAGAAGAGGAGGAATGTCAAATGTTAAAGTAAACCAAAATTGACGCTACTAAGGAAAATAGGTTTGTAAGGGCATTTTTAATAAAATATTCATTTAAAATGCGTTTAAATGGCATAATATGTGTTGCGGAAAAAAGTGACCACGGTGGCGCAGAGAAGAAGTTTAACTTCTCCTCGAGTTGTGTGAATAACAAGCACAACCAATTTGACAGCTAACGAGCTTTAATTGAGATTATATTTATATGTAAACGTAGTTTTATGCTTTGCTGTTCGCATATGTTAACACATCAAATTTCATGAGTAATTAGTACTCACGCCTTTTTTTATTTGATTACCGTTTAAAAATGGTCGTATTTAAATCAAGTGAAAAGTGAATATTTCCATTATACGTACACTACGTATAATGGAAATATTCAATTCAAATACGCCCGCATTAAAATGAAGCATTTTTCCCTGTACGGATGTCGTTTTGCACATCTCAGATGCTTTTTCATATGTAATTAAGAAAGTAGATATATGTATGTATACAAAGCATGCACAGCGGTGACAATACATACACACATACATGGTACAGGTTTATCTGTACAAAAGCACTAATAGCGCGCTGTGATGTTGATTCAAACTCAAAATTTGAAAACACATTTATATGTATGGCTGTAGCTGAGTGTGCAAAGACGCTTGATACAATTGGTTGCTGCTGCCAAGAGGGTCCGGGTTCAATTACCATCACACGGAACATAAAATAATTTTTTTTCTTCTTAATTATAATTTCGTTTGACGAAAAAGCATCTGTGCACTTCACAACGACATATTTTTTATAACGTGCACACTCAAATTTAAAACGAGTTGGGTTGGTGCTCTTTCATATGCGTCCTAAGTACCTACATTTTTCGTACCCCATTTGCCATTTTACTTATAATTTTCCCCTTTACGCGCTATACACCTTCGTTAAAAAATTCTTAAAAATTAACGGTAATTCTTAGCCACTTGAAACTTGCGCATTATTACACTAAAATTGAATGGGCTATAAAACTGTGTACTCATAAAAAAATTTAACACTTCTGAAAAACAAGTTTGAAATTTTGATGAAATTTTTTTCAGTGTTCTGCAAAATTTTAAAGCTTATATTTTAAGTTGCTATGGTATTTGTTAGGGAATGGATTTTTCTCATTGAAAATTCTTAAAAATTTAAAAAAAAAAACCTAAGCGGCAAACAATATCATTTTGAATTTGGTACAAAATGATACGCCCTGTTTGTGTGTATGTAAAAATATGTACAATCAATGCCTTTTTGATTTAGTTCTTGTGAAAATGACATAACATTGCTTTAATTGTTGCTTACTTGTTTACTTGTTTAAATAATGCTACGATCTTGGTTTTAAATTACATATATGTACTTCATTAAATGTTCATGTTTTATTCAAGGACTTATTTATGTAAGTTAACAATAAGATGTAACTACATCAAAAATTATATTCGCTTAAGTACCCGCATTGAGGTACTTAAGCGGGTTCTTTTAAGTACCCAACCCACCTAAGTACCTCAAAAAGCTGAAATTTTTCGTGAAGTACTTAAGCGGGTTTTACTGTACATGCATATAACTATCATATGAAGATTGCATTTACAACTTTGCACAGATTGTGCCCAAAGACAAAACATCCTTGAAACAAAGAAAAATGATAATATTCAGTAAATGCTTAGGGCCAGTTTTTCAGTGCGAGTTTAAGGCCTCATAGTTTAGTTGTCTTTTAGGGCAACACTGTTTTTTCTTTATGCAGATACAAATGTTCAGCTATTTGCTTTCACTTTTGATACTATCGCGTTTACAGTTCTGAAAGATTATAGGTCCGATATCCTCTATTAGAGGCTTACGCCGACAGGCTTTGCGGCGGCGGCGTCGCCGGCGCGTCTGAAAACGCCGGCGCTACTGCCCATTAGGTAGATCCAAAAGAGACATAAAGCTACTAATCTTATCATGTCATCTCGTCAGCGTTAGGCATTGGCCATGCCAATTCAGATTGTAATTGTATTTAATTAATTCATTGAATTAGTTTTAAATTAAAATTACGTTACTTTCTACTTGAATTAAAATGTTGAGTGTCTGCTGCTGATGGATGGGCAAACAGAAGAAAGTCCGACGTATATAAATAAATATATCTCTATGTTCTCTACAAATCCGTATATGTATACTACTGAAATTTAAAGAAATAAAAAAATTTAAAATGTTAAGTTATTGGGGTTGTTGTTGTTGTAGCAGCATACAAATTCCCCAAAGGCTTTTTGGGGAGTGTTGCTGGAGTGACAGTCCTTGGCCAGATATAAATCTGGGTCGTTCCGGTTACGTAGACCCGACTGTCGTGGGAACTAAGTTATTGGGGTAATTTATGTCGCTATCAAAATTTTTTTGCAATAATCTTATCATCCGTTATGTTAAATTACGGAGTTGTTACGATTCTTTGCGGGTCATATGTATATTGAAAACAAGGTTTGGTCAACTTCCACCAGAACGGGCCTTTCTGGCCACTTATAGGTAGCTAAAATATCCACTAAAATATTAAGCGCCAAATTTTTGTAAGGAGAACTGAATGTAATGAAAAATAATAGTAATTTTTACGAAAAATGGGGACTTTAACCCTGTGTAGAAGATATTGCGATGCGCGGGAGCAAACGCCTCCTGGGATTTGACCACCACTTGGGAACAGGGCTTCCAACTATACTTAGCTATGAAGTGCCATATTGAGGATAAAAAAGTGCCAAAATGTGCCAAATAGAAAAATATAACGTGTTACCTATGTTTTTTCTGAGTTACGCTTTTTTGGAAATGTTCAGTGGCCCAAATTATGCGAAATAACTCCTTTAAAAATTTAATCCTCTTTTCGTAAAATAGTGTCTTTATACGAGTAGTATTTAGTTCCTTCAAACGATGTATTTTAATGTGCATACATCATCATTTTGTACAAAATTCCTTAGGCGCCGAACGCCGCCGCCGCCGCCGCCGCCGTCGCGCCGATATTTACGTAACTCGGCGGCGGCGCGTGAGAAATGACAAAAAACGGCGGCGGCGGCGGCGTGGCTCGGCGGCGTATACCTCTATCCTCTATATGCAGCATGATTTGAATAATTTAATCAGTTGGAGTCTAATTAATAAGTTATCCCTCAATATAAAAAATGCTTCCATATGTCAATTTCTAGGTCCAATTGTAAATTTCCTTCATGTTACTAAATTTTAAATCAGAAGCTCACTTTGGTCACTTTGTTGATCTGGGTGTAGTCTTTGATTCGGGGTTTACTTTTGTAAACCATGTATGCATGCTACTTGCTCCCACAGGCATATAGTAACTTAGCTTTTTTACGACGATATCCGAGGGACTTTAAGGACCCAAAATTCTCTTTAACCCGTTAGTACGTTCAAAATTAGAGTATGCGTCAGTCATTTGTAGTCCTATTTATAGCTGTCATTCTATGAGAATTGAACGGGTTCAAAGAAAATTCCTTCGATTTGCTCTTCAACCTCTTAATTTTTCCGATCCGCGTCCACCCCATGCGACCAATAACTTCTCTAGAAGGTAGAAGGTTTTCATCATCAAGATCCTTATTTAAGTCCACACTTGAATCGTTTTACTCTTAGGTTCAGTTAAGTTATGTTAACACTATTATCGTATAATAGTTATTTTTGTAATCTCTTATTTTAGTAATCCTCACTCTCATGTAGTTATGAAATGAAATCGTGTTCAAACGAAAAAAATCTATTTAAAGTAAACAAAAGCTTTTTGGCGCAAAATCATATGTGTTTATGTTTAAAGAGGATATGGATTACTTTTTTCTCAGTGTAGGCAAACTTTTAAAGAATATTTTCGACACTAAGAGCGTGTGCGAATCGGTAACAAAGTTCGCGGCAAGTTTTGACAAGTTTATGGTGAATAAAATTCCAGTAGCCCATGAGGCTAGTGAAATTTTTGAAAAATGCATAGAAAATTTTGACAATTGCAAAGATTGCTGCTGTGTGTAATTTTTCGTAAAATAAAAGCTTAAGTTGATGAACTGCAATCAATGATGGTAGACGTTTTCTTAAAATATTAATTTCACTCAATTTGTAATAGTTTATTGCGCATAAATCTGCGGTTATACAAAATTTACTGCTGTCAAAAAATATTTAATTTCACACAGCAGATCGGCAAAACTGTCTCACCATAGTAAAAATATTATTCAACAGCTTTCCCCATAGAACTTTGCTACCGATTCACACACTATTAAAACAAGAGATTTTCTTAAATGTATAGTATTTTTATCATAACTTTACCACACTCACATACTGACAAGATTTGACTATTTATTTTATTATTTTTTACTTTAATTATTGTTTATAAAGCATTCATCTTTTAGCAACATTAAAAAAATCTATAATCTTTCGTCAAAATTTTCGCAATCAGCTCCAGTTGTTTTATAGTTTTTCATCCGTGAAGTTATTATTCGTATTTAGTCGTAGTCAGGTGGTGGAACGTCGACTTCATCATCATCGATTGGAGGCTTGGGCTCAGCTTCTCCACGGCATTCAGTCCTGCTACCATGCTGTAGGGTAGAAAAATGTTCCCTCCATTATCGGTCACTAGGCGGCCGTGCTATTACAGTAGGTCCATAATTTGCCCATCATTCTGGTAAAATGTGCGGGCGTTTTTCCTGTCGGTCAACGCTTCTGGTTATTCACACTCTCGTATTTCGTTACTACACAAAATACAAGCTAGCGTTGCACCCGGTAGGCGGCATCTTTTTTCTCTCCAGATTCGTGACGTTCGTCATCGTACCAGTTGTTCTTTCGGGCTTGCTGAAATCCGACTATTTCTTCGGCGGCGGCACTTAATGAAATTATCATGCTCGTATGTGCGCTCCAATCGGGTTCGGTTGCTACCCAGAGGATACTTGGTGCAAACACCGGAAGTCGTGAGCTTCTTGAACTGCTGAATAGCGGCCAAAAAATTTTCTCAATTTAATTCAAAAGTTAATATTATTTGCAATGCGGCATAATAGTTCTTCTGGGTATGCAGTTATAGTTGCATGGCTTTACTTAATCCTCTTTACTTTACTGCGTCCTTGTTTGCCCACTTTGAACAATGTGAGCAGCCCATGTGCGAGATGCGATATCCAATCTGAGTGAAGCCTTTGGTCACTCCGACTTATTCGGTTTAAGGGCTCACTGAAGTCTGCAGCTTCTGCAAGCGGGCGTCTGTTTTGAGCACGCGGCTCGCTATATGAACATGTATCCGGTTGAAAAACCATATACCCCAGCAACAGGTTGCGCGTTGGGTTTGGGACCCGCCACGTAAAACCCTTTTTTTATGACGTCCAGGACGGAATGCACCTGGAATGGAAGCAAAAAATTTGCGTCAAACAATCGCAAGGAAAGCTCAACTTCGAAAAGCTGCAATTACAACAGACGGCCAATTTTTTCGCCACTATCACAGTTGCTCCAAGAGAGCACTCTTCAACAAAAGTGGAACCATATTTTCGGCTCATTACGTAGCGTCGCCGAAGAAGTAGTCTGCTCTCAGCGTGCCCGAACGAACAACTGGTACAATGAGGAATTTTACGAAGCTGCGGAGAAAAAAAAATACGCCACCACCGGCCCACGCCGCGATAGGGCGCAACCATACCTATGTGGGACCGATATAGGAAGCTGAAGAGGGAAGCGAGCTATATTTGCCGCAATAAAAGGAGAGGGACCGCAATACGGAAGTGCGAAGAGCTTAAAATGCTGGCCGATAGGAAAAACGCCTGAAACGCACATTTGCGCCTTGGCACCCACGTCACTATTGACAGTTATAATTTCGTTTACTTGGGAACCAGCATTAACACCGATAATAATGTCATCATGGAAATCCAATTCAGAATCACTCTTTCCTGCAATTGCTACTTTTACTAAGTAGGCAATTCAGGAGTAAAGTCCCCTCTCATGACGTACGAAAACCACACTCTATAAGTCACTCATCATGCCCGTGCTGGTATATGGCGCAGAACCATGGACAATGACAACATACGATGGGGCGGCTCTTGGAGTATTCGAGAGAAAGATTTTGCAGAAGATTTCCGGGCCTTTACGTGTTAGCGACAGCGAGTACCGCAGACGATGGAATTATGAGCTTTACCACGACATGGGCATAGTGCAGCGAATTAAAATACAGCGGCTCCGCTGGCTTGGCCATGTCGTTGTTGAAAATATAATTGTTATAAGGCCATAAATAACAAAAAAAATTCTGAACGAATAATAAATTTAAGGTCAGTCAAACATACCGAAAGAAAGTCGGAGAGTCTCCTTAAAGTC